CCCGAACGGATGACCGCAAATCAAATCTTCTCAGAATCGAACAAACTTGACCAATCTAGGAAGCTGGCGTCACGGCAAAGTCAACGGCATTGACCGGTCGGGAATCGGAGCGTCCACGCGCTCTCACGCGCGCGTGTGAGTCTCAGCAGCAGCAATCCTCCGGTGGCGCGTGTAGGCGCGTGCGACGGCGGCGGCTGGCGACGATCTCGACGGCGATCTCTCTGACTTGTCGTCCTGGTCGTCGTGGTATGGTCACTTGCTGGTTTTGGTCTCCGGTTTGGATGGATGATAGATTTGATTGGAATCTCGTATATACCTTAAGATCTTCTACTATATTCTCAAACAACTATCTAGATCTTGTATCAGTGGAGTACAAGAAATAGAACAACTCCTTGGAAGAGAGAAAGAGAGGGGGCAAACGTGTTTGCTAGGTTATGGGATTGTATGTTCTCTTCCAAGAGCCTAATGTTGTATATATAGAGCCTAATAGCACATCAAACACATAATGTAATTACCCAATTCATTAAGTATGTCGACCCGGCTTGGATCTCACCCAAAGAATCAAAGCAACAACAATTATGTGCACATGTCTATTTAATATCTTACGGGTTAAGAGCACGCAATAATTAACTGAGGCCTAGTTCGTTTACGACGATCAGTATAAAACGAACATCCCTCTCTAGGATCCTGTTCAATACATAAATGTACTAGTGCAACTAATCGGTCAAGACAAACCGTACGGTTGACACTACAACCGTTCCGATGGGTTGTTCAATTCCATCTAGGTTGTGAACCAATGATTCTTGTTTCGCAAGTAACTGATATAGTGATCTTCGGTACGCCCGATGACGACCCACTTATCTACATGTAAAACAACCGAACGTGGAACTTATTTAACCAAACATAATTCTCATCCATCAAGAAATAACAAGTGTAATATCCACTAAAGCAAAGCTTAAGTATATAACACCAACAAATGACCCGTCCCTTGTTACGAAAAGTTATTGGGATTGGGATAATTGGCCTGTGTTGTATGCTCGAACTTGTTCGTCTATGTTCAATCCCTTGTTACGAAGAGTTATTGGGAGCGAACCGCTAGATGTATAAGCGAGAGTGTCAATCTCGAACCAAACAATTGATTACCCGGTTTTGCTAGAACTTGAATTAATTATCCACGATTCCGTAGCTTCTCCATCTTTATTTCGTTTATATTTTTAGGAAGATTATTATTTTTATTTTGTTTATTAGTTAATAATTCATCCAATCTGCTATCCGATTAGAGTGTTTAGGATTCATTTTCTTTTTATGTGTTGTCAATATCAAAGCTAAATTCCGAACTGCCTTCCTCGTGAGATTGACCCAGGGAACGAATCTTTCGATTCGGTACTCGGTAAAAAGAATAATTTGTACACAACAGATCGCACACCCGCGTGAGCTTCACAATATCCCTCATGAATCTTTTTAGCACATATTCCTCGTTATCTTCAGAAACATATAGCAGATGAGGTCCAACATATGACCTTTCGTAGAGAACTCCTTCTAGCTCAAATAAGACAACTGTCTAGCTATTCACTTAGCTTGTTGTTTGTCCCCCGCTACCACCTTCTTATAGCATTTCACGGATTAACGTCCGCCAATATTTCTATTCTTCTAACCCTTGTATCTACTAAATACCCCTCTCAGTAACTATGTATTCCAAAAATTTCCCAACTTATGACCACCTTTCCTCGAGGCTGCTTCTTTATTAGGTCATCTAGTGTCTTTCAGGTCGTTCAGCGACTCTCATGTCGTCGAAGGTTCTTCATTCATCCCCCTTGGATCTATGCTCAGTGTGTTTATTTATGTCGTGCTTTATATATGGGTCATCCTCCAGTCGACCCATCCATACTCAGTCTGATTGGCCAAACTGTGGCTATATCACTAAAAATATTTATCTGTTGAATTTTATGAGTACCTTCATTATAATAATTTTTTTACTTGCTAGTACTTTATTTATGCCTATGCTTAGCAAAGCATATGATGTCAACAAAAGGTAAGTCAAACTCTCTATCCCCTGATGTTTGTCCGTACCCAAGGTATTATTGCAAAGTTTATTCAGGAAAGCAAAATATTTGACAAGTTTGATTTTTTATCAGAGATGACCTCAACATGCTAACAAAGATGACGAGAAACTTTAGCCACTCAAAACAAGAGGGAGTGAATGAGCATTCCGTGCAATGGTTAAGGCTGGGAGACGGCGTCTCTTGTTGGGCTCCAACAAAGGACAAGTGCTAAATGCATAGACAACGCGTAAACTGGGTAAGATCGGTTTGTTCTTAAATGTTGATAATAATTCCTAGAAGACAGTAACTATTTTGAGCGTCTGGGACTCAACGTTGAGCTTGGGCACAACCATTTTGCTTCTATGCAAGAATGAAAACTTCTGCGAGTCACTCGACGACCTGTACTTTGCAGAACCATGGCTCCATACTCGATCAAGTTCTCAAATCTTTGATTGCACAAAACCTCATGTATTGGTATTGGGGGTGCTTTTGTGGAGGTTTGTGTGTAAGTGTGTGTGTATGTATGTGTGTATTTTTTTTATCTTTTTTTTTTGGGCGCCACGACCAAAGACTAGTTTCTACTCTTTGCTTTTGTGGGGCGTTCACGCGTACGTATTGAAAATAGTGTATGCATTCACTTCCGCTCGCTCGGACTCTTGTTCGGGAGAGTCCTTCGCTGCCAACATGCTTGTTGCCTGTGTGTGCTTGCCTGCATTATGTGTTATACCATGATTCTCAATCGGCGACGCCTTGGAGTCGGACCTTGCTTAGCAATTTGCGATCAAAAGCCTCATGCTGGAGTTTCACTTATCCCTACCCACGAGTAAAGATATCTATTCAATCTTTCTATTTCTTCTTTCCTTAGAGCGAGATTTGTCAACTCAAAATCTCATATTTAAAAGAAAATTGCTTACTTATATAAACAAAAGGTTATAATTCTGCTTATATTATTTTTAGAAGTATGATATTGCAGTATAAATGTTACTACAAAATATTATTTTTTCTTTTATATTACTTTAAAAATTGTTAGTGGTTTTATATAACACATATATAAATATATATAGGACTGACCTTTATGTA